CGAGCGGTGAAATTGACTAAAGCGCGGCTGGGCAAGTTCCTAGGCGTGCGGTGCAGGCTGAACCTGACAAAGATTGCCATCACTAAGTAATGTAGTCACATGATGTCGCACTTTATGACCTCATTGCTTAGTGATGGCAATCCCAGTCCCAGTTAGCATAACCCGAGAACTACCTGCAGTTAATAATGGATAAACAGTAAGACACATATATCTGTAAGGAATAATAAAGGAGAATTCTGGTTAGATTTTTAATTCAAGCCAAATTTTTAATAAGATTTAAAAAAATACTTTTCAGTGGTGGCCTCTCCTCCAGTATTTGGTTTTCTGCTGGATTTCCTCAAGGTTAGTCTTTTGGAAATTGGGGTACGCTGTTTTTATTTAAAAAAAAAATCAAATTTCTATAAGCCAGGGAACTAAAGAACTTATTAACTCTCTCCCTTGGCCTCCACCACCTAACTTTCTAAAAATAGAAAGTTGGCATGCCTCAAAATGAGATGCCAGCCTTCACAAACACTTCAAACCCCCTCCCCCCCAAAATGTCTCTAGGCTCCATTAGAAAATATTTTTAAAAAATGTTGGGGAGACTAGAGGATAGAGAAGAAGGTGGCAGGTAGTGTCAAGATTCATGATCAAATCTCCTAATACTTCCCAGCTTAGCTCAGTTCCTTGGCTTGATACAGCAGAAGTTTCACCTGAGTTAGCTCAGCAAGATTATTTATTTCTTTATTTTTCACTACAAAGAATAGAATCTTTATCGAAGACCGGCGTAAAGCCATGTAAACAGTTGCTACCCATCACCAGTGAGAAGTTGTAAAATGATTTCTGTACTCAGAGAGGGGATGAATAAACTTGTAGATTTTGTTCTTCCCTTTGCAAATGGACAAATATGGTGGTACCTCGGTTCACGAACTTAATTTGTTCCACGACTCTGGTCACGACCCGAATTGGTTGCGACCCGAATCAAATTTTCCCATAAGGTTCAATGTAAATATGGTTAATCCGTTCTGACCCCTACGAATTTGGTCGCCAACTGATTTTGGTCGTGACGCGAATCAAATTTTCCCATAAGGTTCAATGTAAATATGGTTAATCCGTTCTGACCCCTACGAATTTGGTCGCCAACTGATTTTGGTCGTGACGCGAATCAAATTTTCCCATAAGGTTCAATGTAAATATGGTTAATCCGTTCTGACCCCTACGAATTTGGTCGCCAACTGATTTTGGTCGTGACGCGAATCAAATTTTCCCATAAGGTTCAATGTAATTATGGTTAATCCGTTCTGACCCCTACGAATTTGGTCGCCAACTGATTTTGGTCGTGACGCG